TTTCTTTCAACAATTGCTATTCAAGACTTCCAGCAACTTTTTGTCTACTCAAATTTGGCATGTTCTAGTTTTTTCTTCCCTAGTTGGAATTGTTATCAAGATTTATTTGTTTTGGGTTGAACATCTGCCCTGCACTCATTTTATTCAAGAGTATTAGTTTCAATGTTGTTCTTAAATTGTCCAATTTGTGTTACTTCAATCACATATTTTAATAATTTATGAAAGGATTGAAACTAAGAGTTTTGAATGATTCTGGTGGTGGTTATGTCTAACCTATTTAGCTTGTTGTGTTTGTTTAGTACGTATATATGTTCTTCTTGTTCATTTCTGGATTGCTTAGATTAACTAGCCTCTGAAATAATTGAACCTCTCTTATCAAAGACATATTCAGTAGCCCAATTGAATGCTCGGTTCAAGGATTCTTGACTGAGTAATGTGCTTTGGGAGATGTTCTAAGCCTTAGTGCTAGCGGTTGGTTGAAACTCAAAAATGGTGTTTGAAAACTGATTTTGTTTATGCTTGGATTAGACAAATTTAGGATGGCCACCTAAAATCTAATTCCAAATTGATAATTTTGATGTCTTAAGTACGTTAATAGCTGAGATTTTCAAAACACAAGTGTCACCCGATTAATACTTAATTGGCTCCCACCCGGTTTTTATTAATTGGAGTTTTCAAACTGGCTATGTTAAATAGATATAGTCTACTGCATAGTTGTTAAGTGATGTTTTCCAAAGAACTTAATGCTCTATTTTTAATTAAATCTGGGGGCAGGTCCTTGGGTCGTTAAAAATAGTAGGGTCTAGAGTTAGGGCAGGACTTAACATAGGCTATACAAGGGAGAATAGGGAAGGACCGCAGGTGGATTTCTTCTTCAACTTAACCCAAGAGTTTTGTCAATCATTTTAATTTGGAGTAGTTCTAATTAATTTGAGAATCTGGGTTTGATCAATTGGTTTTTCAAAACTATAAAGTACTTTCAAAAATCAGTTTAAGTTAGTTAATATCGTTTAAGTTTTTATAAAGTTTAAGTGTTTGTTTTCGTGTTGGTGTTTGTCTTGTGTGTCTTCATCCTTGTTCTAAGTGGCTGCCATGGTTCTGTTTCTTGCCCATTTTTATCCTTTTTATTTATCTTTATCTTTCCAATTTATCTTTTAAAACCCCCCCGAATAGTTAGCTCTTTTATTAGTTGTTTTTAAATGGAAAAAAACGTAAAACTTAAGTAAGTGATTTTCATAAAATAAAGAATATCTTTCTCCGTGGGATCGACTCTTACCTACCCTAGCTATAAAATATGAGTTTTAAATTAAATAAGGGATAAGAAAAAAGAATTAATTTGTAGGCACTACGACACGCCTAACAAATTTTGGCGCCGTTGCCGGGGAGAGATTACTTTTATGAGAACCAATTTGCTTGAGTAAAAAAAACAAAAAAATATTTTTTTTATTTGAAAATAAAAACCTTTTCTTTACATTCTGTGTCTTTTCCTTTTTCAAGTCAGAAGTAATACTTTGAGTGTTTTGCCTCCTGTTGGGTCATTTTCTTAGAGTTAGCAACAGTTTTGGTCAAGTTATATACTTTATGATGCAAATTAATATGTCTTAGGATGTTTTGCTTGTAAAATCTGATCTGGACAGTGTTAAAAGAAGTCCAGACTAAAATAAGAGAGCCCTTGGACTTTATATGGCCTTTTTAATGAATATCATGAATGGTTTTGGAAAATTGCTTCTCTTAAGTAAGACGAGGTTCATTTTTAGATGCTCTAAGGAACTTATTTGTCATTTTCTCTACAAGAACAAATCGAAAAGAGCTTGGATACTAAATGATAAAAGTGTTGAACTAAAACCAAATAAAAAAATTAGCCCTTTTTGCAGCACTTAATCAAGTGATAAAGAGAAGATTTAAGAATTCTAATACCGTTCTTGTTTCAAGTAGCAGCTTTGTGTATTTGCATGCTGTTAAGGAGTGGAAGAGTTATTGGAGAAACAATTGAGCTAGGTTACAATCACCAGGTAAGTGTGGCTGGACTTGACTCTTTTAATTTCCAACCGTGTGAAGCTGTGCTTGAGTCTGGTTGTGACGTTTCCAACGTGTTTGTTGCTGGATCTGAATCTGATTTTGAGACAATATTTGGAAACCTTTTTGAAGTCAAAACTGAACAAAAAATGGCTACTTTGAAAGAACTTGCTGCCCCTGATTTAAATG